TCTTAAAAAACAAAAAACACAAGTGAGATATCATGGCTTGTTCCAGAAACTGCGAATTTTGAGATGACATTGTTTGTTTGTTTTAAAGATTTATTTATTTATGCGTACAAGAGCGGGTGCAGGCCAGAGATGCAGGGGGCAGAGACAAAGTGGGAAGAGAACAGGAGACTCACTGAAATACACTGCTGAGGGGAGCAACAGATGAGACAAGAGATGTCTACTTCGCCATGTGTGTTGCTCTCTGGCCAGCCGGGGATTGACCTCATGCTGCCCAGGCTGTGGATTGCTTCATAGTGAGGTGCTTTAACCCCTTGTAATACCAGAGAGGCCCACTGAGATGACATTGTTAAGGAAGAGACAAATGAAACTGCTGGACTTGGCAAACAACACTAGTTATGAGAACTTTATAATAAAGGCAAAATGAAGTCATTGAAGAATGTTAAGAAGGGAGTAACAAGAGTACAAAGCAAAGGAGAGGAGGGTTGTGGGCACTGAAAAACAGACTGGATGGTTGACACTTCAGACTAGTCATTCATTTAACAATAGGTTAAAGAAAGAACTTAAAAGTCAGCTAATAGTAGAGAAGTTAGATAAGAAATGTTTGTTTAAGTTTGCTAGCTTTAGTGTGTGTTTAACTTGGATTGATTGTTTAACTTAGTGTCTTTGAAGACATTACCTGGTGACAAACAAAATAATTCATTATTGAAGTTATTTGTCAGGACTTCTAATAAAACACGTGGGGCATTTCAGTAGTAGAGATCAATAATCCCATTAAAGAATAACTGTTTAGTAGAAAACCAAGTGACAAAAGGAAATGTGACTAGTTAGAAAATCAAATGACAAAGCAAAAACTGAAATATGTTAAGAGAAAATAACCTTAATACAAATTGCGAGGGTAAGGCTAGAACCTTTTTTATTCATGGGTATACGCTTGTGAAATTTTTTAGGTAAGCACTCCATATAAGTAATATAAATATTTTACAATCTAATAGATATTTATTAATGATATCATTTTAGTAATGATATTATATGTATGTAGATCTATATATTTAGATATGTATAAATATATTTAGACATGGTGATATTGCAGAGTTCAATAACATGAAATGAACCAATCAGAATCTGAAGAACAAGAGCAATTTAGATAACTTGACCAAATAACATCATTTATTTAGCATAAGAACATTAATTGCATTAGTCCAGCTATAAAGCAATTGTCAAATATGATATAATTATAAGGCAAGTTTACTGGAAGCCAAGCTTAATCATTTCAATAAAATAAATTATTGAAATTGAGACCTGATATGAACATGTTTGTTTTACCAAATTGTAAGACTGAATAATGAAAGATAATATATGTTAAATATCAAAGGTTCTTTTTGCTTTAATACTGTCCTACCTCCCAAGAAGGATAATCTCTAATAAATCTTCCCAACACAAAATGGGGTGCAGGGGAAGGGCAAAGTCACTCTAAAACATAAACAAAGTCCTTCAAGTTGCAGGCTGTCAAGTTAACACCACTTCCAAGTGTAAGCAGATATCGTTTTCCCGCATGAAAAGTTTACTGTGAGGAATAGTTTCAAAAGCAAGGCACTTGGAGTAAACAGTGAAACAAAGGAGAACTATTTTATTCACAAGCCTGAACACATATGGAACCTGTTAAGGGGATGATGCCTGTAGAAAGAACTACAAAGCCTTTAAGAGACACCTAGGCTGTCTTGGAAAGGAAGGATGGAGGAAAGAGTGGTTAGACAAGCAGGCAAATGGGCCAAAGATCAGTCGGGATTGAGACAGGCTGTTGGGCAGATGGTCTTTTCTGTTCCAAAATGTTCAAAGTTAAAGGCCACTCCTTAGCACACTTTATTTTATACAAAGAGTGAATTAAGAAACCAAGGGTCTGCCAGAGATCTTTTCTGGATTTACTTGTGTCATTTTTTTTTTTTTTTGCTTGTTTATGTAATTCACTTGCCACCTCCTCAAGCTAAGGTCCTCACTTGATGCTCTTTTCCTAACACTAAGGTTCAGTTAAAAGTGTGGATTAATTAAGAGTAAGATTCTTTTTCATTGTGCAGTTAGTTATTTCTATCCCTCTGAGGAAGGTCAAGATTTCTTTTTTGGCCAAAGTGCACTGCTCACTTATTTCTCTTGTTCAGGATAGTCTAGACTATGAAAATGGTGGGCCTCCCTGGTGGCGCAGGAGTTAAACACAGCGCTATCAAGCTATCGCCAGCCACTGCAGCACGAGTTCACAAATTTGATCCCCAGCAGGCCAGGGAGCAACCCACATGGCTCAGCAGACCTCTCCTGCCTCCCCCACTGCTCCCCTCAGCAGTGTATTTCAGTCAGTCTGTGTGTTCTGTTCCCCACTCTGTCTCTGGTGAATCCCCTCACCCCACCCCACCCCCACACACCTCTGGCTTTCACCCCAGTTCTTGTATGCATAAATAAATAAATATTTAAAAATAACAGTAATTAGGTTATTTTTTTTTCATAGTACTTTTCACCCCCATTAAAAATTAATGGACACAAAATAAAAAGCAAAATTGTTGAGATGGCTTCCTTTGCATAGTGGAATAATGACATCTGATGAGTCAAGTTCACCTGAATAGCCCCTGACAGGGAGGATAAATTCCTTAAGATACTTTACAGACCCCACATAGCTACCACAGACAAGCCAATAATCTGTGTTATTAAGCAAGCTCACAGGGAGTATAGGGCTTTATTCTAGCCTCCGTGAGAAACAAAAAGCAGGCAATAGAAACACTCCTTGAAGAGTTGTACTGCTGCTAATGGAAAAACCAGGAGAAAAATCTAGTAACAGAGAAACACTATGAATCAATTCTACAGCAACCAAAGACAGACTGGAAACTGTCTGGGACGTGGTCCTGTCTACAAAAAAATGTCAGACTTTACATAAACCCTGCCCTGGTCAAATGCAGCTATTCCATGCTCGGTCCAGAGCACGCAGGCACCCAGCCAACAGGTATACCTTGAGATAAGCTGTGGTCAGGGTAAGGTACCAGGAAGTACCAACAGAAATAGGCCAACTCCTTAACATTCTAGCTTCTGTAACACAGTCAGGAGCTCACAGGTCTTGTACTTTTCACTTGGCCATTTTTATGGGTAAGTTTGTAGAGGGAAGACTTAATAGGGGCTATCCTAGCAACCCAATTTATCCCAAAGGAAGGAAGTATGCATTGAACAATGGAAAACTCATTAAATGGCTATCTATACTCTATAAAATACAAAATTTTTATAAGAAGCTTTAACTATCTATAATATAAAAAGTACTTTTAATGTTTATGTTCCCTTATAAATTAATAAAAACAAAAATGTCTTTCTTCAGTTACAATTAATATAAAAGGACTCTCAACACACCAGCACCTTTAACCTAACTGACCAAAATTATTCTCCAGAAATAACTGCACATTTCAGCAAAATGAAAACATACAAAGGCATAAATTGCAGATGCACCATCCAGTCAGGACATGTGGACAAAAAGACTAATCATACAATGGGTGCGATATATATATATATATATATATATATATATATATATGCCATAAAGATAATCATTTATGGACAATCCACTTTCCCTATTATCCTGCATCTTGTCAAAGAAACTACTTTGTACACTCAAATGACAAATGATTATATATAAGGTGTAAGTAAAAAGAAAGGACAAACCAGGCTGTATTTTGAGGTTGCAAATGGCAAAATACCTAAGGGATACTCTTCTTAAAATCATGGAGGGGTACCAGCTAGAAGAAAGTCTGTAGTTTTGGAGACAGGTCTCAGTTCAAATACTGATCCACCCCTCACTAGTATTGTGACTCTGGGCAGGTAGCTTGGCCTAACTGACCTTCCCTTCCTGTAAAATATCTAATGTAAAATATCTAATGGTTCTCTAAAAGATTATTATGGGGAATAAGCAAATGCAAACACTTAGTATAAAGACTGACACAGAAAAGGAATTAGGTTGGGAAGAACACAGGAATGTTTCTTGAACACAGCAGAAGTTCGAAAGGCAGAGATTACATTGGCATCAATCTAGGATGAACTTTATATTTTGCCAAATTCATTAAATCTAGATGAGTGGCTGTTAGTTATAAAATTCAAGCACCTTGTAATTCACACTCAAAAAGAGCTTAAAAAAAAGTCCCATTTTTACCCTTGTTTGTCTAGTTTAGAATTTAATTTACACTTAACATCTAGCCCAGTGGATCCCAAATTTGCACTTTAGAATCACCTAAGATACTTGGACATTTAGCTTTAATGACTCTGGCCTGAAGCCTAGGCACCAGTTGTTTAATTACACCCCTAGGAGACCCTAAAACACTGTCAGTGCCTAGAACCAGGAGAACAGCCAATTTCTAAAGAAATAGATGCATATATTTGCTAGTAGTAGTTCCAGTTTGACCTATCCTGACCAAAAAAAAAAAAAGTTTTATCCAACCCACTCAAGTTGTGACCAGTATTCCAAGTCACTCCTTTCTACAGAAAAAGCTGAAAACTAGATAAGTATCAACAGAGTTTGAATGGTAGAAAGGCACAAGACCATAACTCAACAAACTTTTTCAGGTGGATAAAATGATCACTTTTACTTGGATAAAAATGAGCCATGTCTTAGAGTAAATTTCCAGTGCAATTATATAAGGGAGTATGTTTTAAAGCAATTTTCTCTTATATTTCTTTTTTTCTTTGAAGCAATAAAAAACAAACATCATCATCTGAAAGACAAACCTGAGGTAATTCAGTAGATTACGCACTTTTCCATTTGAATGGAAATCTGATATCTTCCTCTTTTAAAGTGAGTCTAAGTTGCAGGAACACTGGTAGCTGGATTAGTTCTCATGGAAGTCTATTCTAATTTCCCTCTATTTCACTGAATGACCCTAACAAGTCACTTTCCTGGTCTCCAGTCTATGTGCCTCTGTAACATGCAGTCAGTACACAGTACCTAGTTCTTAGAATTGGTATCACTTTCCTTAGAAACTTACCAGGGAGCTGCCATCAGTCCAACGGAAGTCATGCTCAAACATCTTGTCATTGAGGCCTATCCACTGGTAATCATGGCCCACACCTAAGGGATGGGAAACAGCAAACATAGTTTTATTACCTTTCCCACTAAAATACAGTGTCAAAGAAAATTATTTTCAGAGTGAATCATACATCCTCTTTCCTGACTGGATTTTTGTTTAGTTGCTCATAAAAATCTCTCAAAGTCTAACTATCTTTGGTTCTTCTGCCCAATGTGCTTTAAATCAAAATGCTTATTTGCAAATATTGTGAAATTTTATCAGACATAGACAAAAATTTCCTAGCAGTTCACCTAATTAAGTATTTTTTTCCATCTTCACTCATGATTGAAACTTTCCATTTGTTCTTTGATTATCTGTGCTCTTGGCAAAAATTCAGTGGCCCAATAGAATGTGACAGATCTTACCCATGCTAGCCTCACATGCTGCTTCTCAAAGCATTTTAAGCAGTAAACACCTAGACCAAACTGTTCTGCAAAATATCACCCTCAAAATAATTACTATTACTATGAGATGAGTCACTGGCAAGGATACTGAGCAAAAAAAGTTAAATGAATATCCAGATTACAAGTTAATCAACAACTTCTAAAATAAAGCAGATATCATGAGAACCTATCTAATAAAGCATCAAGCAACGTTTCATGAGGAAAAATTTTTTACATAAAAGCTTGCTGTGTTCCCCTTTGGGATATAGTTTGAGTAATTACACCAGTTGAGGATTAAGTTTCATTGCTTTCAGTATCCAGTTATTCACGTCCCTAATAAAAATTCCACTTCCTATGGCTTAAAATAATTAGAAATTTGCAAGAGAATAATTCTGCACAGAGGATAAGCTTAGGGTACTCTTAACAATTAAATTTTAATTAGCAGGACAAAAATAATTGAATGCAATTTCTTATTAAACAACACATGTCCATATTTAAAATAAAGATGAAGAAAGTAATCATGAGAACAATTAGATTGAAACATAAGAAGTAGTAACCATTTTGTAATTTGATCCAAGAAAAAAAAGATCAAATAGCAATTTCTTACAATTCAACCTATAGCAAGGTTTCACCTATTACTGCTGGCTTAGGTTCTAGCTGAAAGCTCCCCAAGTTGGGCGGGAACTCACACAGGAGGAATGATTCCAAGTAATGGACAGAAGAGGAATTTATAGCTGGAAAAGTTATTTCTTTGCAGTTAGATAGTGAGAAAATTAAGAAGGTGAGAAGGAATGAAACCTTCAAAAAACCATGTGTATTTGGTACATACGATTCACAAACATTTGTTCTTCATGAGACAGAATGCTGGTGAGATGGGCACCCTGCAGGCGGCATTCCCGTTCAGCTGCGTCCCAAGTACGGCGATGGGCAAAGTATTTGTAGCACTGCCCTTGGAATTTGTGCCAGCCATAGTCACAAGTCTCCGTGTCTGAGAAGAAACAAGAGATTCATTAAATTCATCAACGTTATTCAAATTTGGCTCACCAAATTGGAGTGTTAATAGAGACAATATCAATGCAGTGTCCCTGAAGTAACTGCTTCATAGAATTTGGTCACAATGACCAAGAGATTATGATAAAAAGAGCCCAACTGATTGCTGCAATGTGGGTGGCTATATATCTTTTGGGTTGAAAGGCAGTATCTAACTGTAAATTCCTTGATTAAAGCCAGCTTGAGTAGAAGAGAAAAATGGAAGAGAGGCCAGTCAAACCTCTAAGGTTTCAGTCAATCTCTTGACTTAATGTGGGAAGCCATTCAGGCTAATTCCTCATCATCACAAATTTTCTAAAGAGAATCATTCAAATGATAAGATAAGAATTCTGGCTAATAGGATCATGAATGTTCTGTTTGCACATGGACTTCAAAGGCTCTGGAAGGAGTCCTTTTCAACTTCCTGTGGAGATAGCTGAGTTGCCACAGGCTCTTGTCAGGTAAGATTTAAAAAGAGAGAAAAAATTCTACACTGGTAGACAGTTTCTGGTATACATCTTAGAAAGTGTGCCTTTTTCCCAAAGGAAAAGGAATATAGATAATTCCCAGTGCAAATGCATGAGGATTTTAACTTTATTCATAATGAAATAACCAAAATTCCTTAATTTAGGACACCTCATTTCAGCAAACCATTTGCATATCTGTACATTTGTGTGAGGATACATATATCATGTACATTGCTCTTTCATAACAAGCACACTATAACTAGTATCCTACTAGGATGAAAATATCTTTCAACTCTATCTAAATTTACTCTGCCATCATATTCAGTTGATTCTTGATCTCCAGTTTATTGTACTTTTACAAGAAAGCAGTCTTGCCCCTAACGCTGTATTATAATTGGTCATTTTCTTTCAGACACACACACACACGGGGTGGGGTTAAACTATAGTATTAAATAATGGCCAATAGAAATAATCTTGACATTCATAAAATTAATCTCCCAAATAGATTGAGCTGATCACATCTAAAATCAGCTATTACACATAAAATCACTATTGAATGTTCTTAGAATTCTTTCCAGCTTAGCAAACAACTATTCCTGATTTTATTCCCTCCCATAATTTTATTTATCAGTGAAGAAAACAAAACTGTACTAGAAGAAATAGTACTTATGTACTGGATAAATGCAAATTTTTTTTCAAGATTTATTTATTTATGCAAATAAGAGCTGGGGTACAGGCCAGAGATGGGGGTGGGGTGTGGTGAGAGGATACACCAGAGACAGAGTGGGGAACAGAACAGGTAGACTGACTGAAATGCACTGCTGAAGGGAGCAGCAGGCAAGACAGGAGAGGTCTGCCGCGCCATGTGGGTTTCTCCCTGGCCGGCCAGGGATCGAACTCATGCTGCAGAGGCTGTGGATTGCTTCATAGTGCGGTGCTAAACCCCCTGTGCCACCAGGGAGGCCCTAAATGCAAGTTTTATATTTCTGACATGATGGCTAAGTTGAAAGTCAAATTATCTCTTGACTCTCTCTCTCATCACTCCTTTTTCTATAATTGTGGGACAGCATGCATTCAGAGATTCCATTTTTTCCTGACTTTGGTGATTTAGCCCACAGTCATACAACAGACGCAGCTTATCGCTAGAGCAGTCTTTATTTCAGTTTAGTCTATCAGGCTGTTGTTTAGTTACAGCGAGATGACTAATTGGTTTTACTAATGTGCACTGGAAGTTTAGAGTTTTATTATCGTGTTGTTTGGAGATCACCAAATCTCAAAGGAAAGGACCCAAGACATAGCTAGATGATTTGGTATAAAACTAACACTCAGCACCCAAGAATGAATCATATTTCAGCTACTTGGATGTTGCAATTTTCTATTGGGAAGTTCACATGGCAAAATTTAGAGGTGAATTAGGGAGTCTGGGGAGGAAAAGAGCTTTATATATGAAGGCATTAGGTTATAGAGGGCGAGAATTGCAAAATTTTTTAACACACCCTCACTGTTAAAATCAGCAATGTGATATTATAACAACACAGCCCTCCTTAGCCTTAGAAATTATCATTTACTTTAAGATACTCAGTTTAAAATCCTAGAGGATCTCTAACTTACTGAGTAATACTAGAAAAAATTCTTCCCTATACCTTTTTCTTCTATTATCACAAATGGGGTTTAGTTTGGTTTTCTTTTAAAACAGATTATCATTAAGAATTTTTCTTCTTACACAAAAATCCCAAGTGATCAAAATTTTTAGATGTCATGATCACATCGTGCTACAGTGCCTAAGTCAGTTAGTGAGTGCATAGATTCCTAGCAGAATATGGGTCTAAAAACCTGGGGCAGGGTTTCTGTTAAAACCAAACAATGACAGGGCCTCCCTGGTGGCGCAAGAGGTTAAGCACCACACTATGAAGCCTTCCACAGCCTCTGCAGCATGAGTTCAATCCCTGGCCAGGGACCTATCCACATGGCACAGCAGACCTCTCCTGGCTCGCCCTCTGCTCCCCTCAGCATTGTATTTGGGGCAATCTGCCCGCTCTGTCTCTGGTGAACCCTCTCACTCACCCGCATTTCTGGCCTATACCCCAGCTCTTGCATGCATAAATAAATAAATCTCAAAAAAAAACAATGACAACTTACTATCTGTACAATTTACTATCCTCATTTTCTAAGCCATAGATTCCCAATGACTATTAATACATGTGCAAATAACAGAGTGACTTTAAATTTTAACAAAAAAGCCAAATTTCCATGCAGATTCACTTAATTTTCACTATTCATAAATTCCATAAACATATAATGAAAGATTATGCATCAAACAGCATCTTCTAGGATGTGTTCTGGTAAAAGATAGAAGAAGTAGTCTTTATTTTTCCAATCTTACCTAAAGATAATAACATAGCATTTCATTTATTTAAAGCTAACCTTTGGGATGATATTTTCTTAAAAATCATCTGATGTATGGAAATGTCTTATGTTTTAAAACCATGGTGCCTAGATTACATGACAAAATCCCAGATTTGGTTTTGCTGTTTGTGATGGCAGGCCCAGGCAGCTCTGTGTGTGTGTGTGTGTGTGTGGCTGGGGGGAGGTGGGGGAGGGGAAGAGGGGCAGGAAGGAGGGTACAACTCCTATTCAAGACCAGAAAAGACTGAAACTATTACTCTTAATCTCACAAAAAAATTCTACTCTTTTTATGCTAGATTAGCAATGTTTTCAACACTACTGACATACAATTGTCAAACTTTAGAAATAGTCTACACTCAGACACTTCTTGCTGGCAAGCTGTCTCAGAGACTGGGGGCAATGTGTGCATATAACTGTTTCTTCAGTGTTCTATGCCCCCATCTAGATGTTTTATCTGTTATCATTCCATCAAAATGTGTCCCTTGCTCCCGAGTTACTGGGAGGTGGGAAGTTAGAGAACAGAAAAGGTCAGCTGAAAAAACAATGACGCAGTCATCACTGAAATTTGGAGAGAAGGCTGTTTAGACAACAATGCTGCTGTTAATGAAGAAAACATTTGTTCTTAGGCAACCTGAAGAGAGGAGAAAAAAATCTTGCAATGTGCTGGCAATAAATCACAGGCGCACAGCTGCAACTGGTAAACAGACTGGGATATCCGTTTCTCGACAAATAATGTGGATGGAAGTTAAAAGTGCTTTAAGATAAAAATAAATGTACATGAAATTTTGATGGCACCAGAAATAAAAGAAAAAATTAAAATGTTTTCTTTTTAATAGTTTTTTGAAGAGAGAGAAAATGTAACTGGCCTAAAAGTCCCTTGCGATGATCTTTCACTAGTGAATCCATCAGTTATACATGTAAATAAAATGCCTATCTTTAAGAGTTACTCTAGAACTGATTTTGAAAAAAAACTGGGTTTTAAAAGGTCACATCGGTCCACTACTAGCTGTATCACTCTGAACCATCACTTTTCCTCTTTGAGTCCCAATTTCTTGACATATAGAAATATAATGCCAACCAATCACATGATGTACCTGTAAGCATTTGGTAAACTATAAAATATTCAACAAATATCTTTTTTTTCTTCCATGCCAAGGTTTGTGCTAAGTCACCGAGGCTGGGGGACTTTGTTTTGTTCAGAGTTCTATCTCCAGTGCCCAACTCAGTCCTAGAGGACAGTAGGTACTCAATCAACGGTTGAACAAATGACTTTTGAATTGCATTTTAATGCTTTGCAAAGTTTCAAATGTCTCACCCCCTTGTTTTCTTCAACAAATGATAACTTTCTTACATTTTCCTTTGAGAGGAGGATCTCGGTTGGATAATTTTCAGATTAAACTTTAAAAATTCTAAAACAGACATTTTATATAATAAAGTGAAAAAAGCCATAAAAACTTAGCCATCACCCATCCCTTCACGTAATGGCAATTCAGTACATGCTTCTTTCAGCTTGCCTTAAACTGTGGTGACATCAGGATTAACGCTGCAAAGCAGAATGTACGCCCAGACCAATGTGTCTGAGTGTCTAATACATTTTCAATTTGTCTGGTGGAATGGAAGTTTGGCACTAAGCACTTTTGTCAAAGCCAAACCACTGCAGGACTTTAAGTAGAGGAAATTGATGTTCCAAAGCTTAGTGAGTGTGCTGGGCGTACAATCTGTTTCTGATTGATGGACTAAGCAACGTTACCATTAGCCACCTAAAATACGCTCTCAGGTTGGCCATAAAATGTAAATTACAGGGATCATGAGATTCCAGTCATCATGAACATAAGCCTTTCATTCAGAAAAAGTAGATACTTCTTCAATAGGAAAATTCTCTACTTAGCCGAATCACAGTATCTTTTACATAGTGTTTGCCAAACCAAAGCTCATGTATTCTAACAACTATATTAACGTATTTTCCAGAGACGATTAACTAGGAAAAATAGGCCAATGAATCTCTCAAGTACTTAGAGGGAGTGGAGAAGATAAGGCAACTAACTGAATTCAATATCCCTTGGTGAAAACCACTTATATGGATTATGGTCTAGGCCTAGGTTGACCCTAGGAAAAATAATTACAACAGTGATCCTTTTGATAACTAGATGTCCTTAAATTCAGCTCAGTGTGTCATATTCAATTCTATCCTATCAGCAAAATAACAATATTCTAGTAAACACTATTGCTCAGATGTTGTGAGCTATGGACACATAAGGAAACCTAATGTATTTAGTTAACCTCTGAATTTCCCTCTGTAGGAAGAGGATGCAATAGGGTCAAACTTATTAAAACCATCCAAATCAGTATGACACAGACTATCTAGAAGTAACATTTGAAATGAAGTTTCAATAACGTTTGTTTCAATAGCTCTTACCTTGCTCACAAAGTGCACCAACATAGCTTGGAAGGCAGAGGCATCTGAAGGTATTAAAACCATCAACACAGGTGGCACCATTTCGACAGGGGTTAGAGTGACATTCATCAAAATCTGAAATAAAATCATCAAAGGTCGCAGAAATACTTTCAAAACAAGTCAAAAATGGGATTCTATTTTAGTGAAGTTCAGTTCCATTTGAATTTTAAATTTAAAAAAATTAAATAATATTTTTTTTTGTATGTCCTCTGCTATATATGGGTCATAAGGCAACTAAGAAAAATATTTCTTTTTTTATCTGAAATTCAAATTGAACTGACCTTTCTAATGGTATTTTATTTGAAAGATCTGGCAACCCTAAGAAACTTTCAACAATAATTAGAGGAGGGTCATTTCCTTTTGTGCTTTTAGATGAGTACTGAAACTGATAAGGTCCCCAGCCCTCTCCCAACTGCAACCCTGGCTCAGCTGGGGTTACCTGTCTGTGGAATTCTGAAAACAAATGGACTCACTGCCTCTGAGCCCATCCTTCACACTGATTGTCATGATAAGATTTTTCCTTGGCTTCTAATCATTCCATATATCACAACTGCCCAGTCAGTGGCCCTGTCTCAGTAGCTTGGGCATCACAGGAGAATGTTAGAAATACATGTTCCCAGGCCCAATCCACGCCCACTGAAACAAATCCTGGAAGGATGCAAACAAATGCCCATATTTTACCAAGCCCTCCAAGCAATTCCAACATATGCAAAAATCTCAGAATCACTCCATTAGAGTATAAAGTAAAACTGCTCAGTACACTGGACTTAGGACCTTCTCAGGCCTACACCCATAGTATTCTCTCCTAATGTTTCTCTCCCATAAATCCAGAAGTAGGCATACCTGAAGCCCTGCAGTCACTCAGATGCATTTGTGCAATTGTGGTCTCTGTGCTTTTGTTTTGTCTAAATCTCCCATTCATACCATAATTTTAGGTTTTCAGGTCTACCACAATCTATCAAAATCCTCCCCAACTTTAAGATCTATATCAAATGCAAACTTTTTACAGATTTCCATGATCCCCTCTGATGAAAATTATGAAACACCTATCTTTATTTCCCAGATCCAACTTAAATTAGCCTATTATTTTTAAACTTCATTTAGCATTATAATTCACTTACACATGGCTGTTTCTGAAGCTCTTTTATCGATTTAAGTAATGCAAAATTTTCCTCAATATACATCCTGAAATCTACCTTCTTTCAGCCAAGAAGATCTTACCAAGTTCACATTGATCGCCACTGTATCCTGGCACACAGGTACATACATAGGAAGTCTCAGTTGGATAACAGGTGCCTCCATTAAGGCATGGATTCGTTTTGCAACGATCAGGTCCTACCATGTTCAGGGAAAAAAAAAAAAAGTAATTAGGCTCATTGCTAAGTTTCAACACATTTTAGCATAAAATGCCACTTATTGCTACCATAATGCAAGCTTTACCATAGCAATTTAGAAAAACTACACATAAATTTTAACATTAATTTTGCTTTCTGGAGTGCTTCTTGGCATTATAACTAATTGTTATAATTCATTTCTTGGATTCATTTTTTTAAATGATTTTTTTGGTACAGTATCTGGCAACTAGTATATTCTAATGCAGATTTAGTTGGCATGATAATGGCAATTGATTTTAGTCAAAAATGATTACACATATGTGCACAGTGAATGGAAAATGTATTCTTTTAAACGAGGTTAGTTCATGTGAAATGGCTGGATACACAGAACATGCATTCTTTTTAGCAGATTGGCTTGTTACCATCATTTGAATTATTATTGCCTTTTACCACTTAATGCTCAGAAACTGTGTTTCTTCGAAAGTGTGCACTGAAGTCTCTTCTGCTACATTAATATGCTTTTTCCAAAAACACGTTCCAAATGTACTCCTTTAAACTATACTTGAAGAAAAGCAACACATGGATTAAATGCTACTGTATAAAAACAAATACAAACACCTATTCTAAAATGAAAACCCAATTTTTTATTACAGTTTTCTCATTAAAGCACAAATAGAATTGACACTCCAAGGAGATAAACAGAAAGGCAAGAAACACAGATTTATGAGAAGAAATAGTTTAAGTATTTTCTAAATGCACATACTTTAACATTTGAAGCACATATTTTACTCCATACTATTACTTGCATAATTGTATTTACATTAACAACATATTTATTATTTGAAAACTTTTTCAGAATTACAAAAGTTTTAAAATGTTCAAGAATCCAACAAGAGTTGAAATTTCACAAAATAATTGAATAAATAGGTTAGATATGAAACAAAAATCTTATCTTCAAAAATCTTAAGTCCCCAACCCTGAAATAATTACACACGAAAAAAAAAAGTAAGTTTACTTATGAAGTATGAACTAAAGGAATATTAAGATAAGCAAGGAACTGTTCTAGAAGATAATTGAGCCTATCACACACAGGAAAGTCAAACTCAAACTTTCTGAGTGTTAAGTAAATTCTGGACCACTAGAAAGATTTGACAGATACACATTTGCATGTGTTGGGTTCAACTGCATGAAGTTAATTCAGATGTTTGTATCTACTTCTTAAAAATTAGCCCAATTTTCCTAAGACTCCCATAGAGCTCTAAAAATATTTAGAATCTCCTTAGTAGTTTAGCTTTCTGTCTTTGAAAGTACTGCTTATATCACAAGACTACAGTTAACACATCCACATGCTGCCTTCAGAGCAAAATTGAAATGACCATATGTAAGCATGCTCAGTAAACTATGTGTCACACAAACAGGAAAGTATTACTAGAATTCCCACCACAGACACTAGGCACCACGCAGAGAGGGTATGATAAGTGCTTGGCAAGAACATGGTCTTTCTGTGAACTTAAAGTAGTTTAGATTAGGAGAAAAAGTTTTGTTTTTACGATTTTATTCTACTCTAAATCAGCTCGTTTTAATCTCTGAAAGTTGAATCTGTAAGAGAGAGACCAGGATATCCAATATGAGCTCCTGCTTACCAAATTAACCTAAAATGACAATTTATTTTGCAATGAAGTCGCAAGTTTTAATCTTGGTAAACTTGGTGGAGTGGTAACTGGTACACATTTCGCCTTCATTTGTCAAACCTAATTCTCCTGTATGTATATGATTATTACAATGATTTCCAGACCTTGCTTTTTACCATTCTTAAGTATATTTCAATTACAAAATAATAAATACTGGCCAGATAAATATAGAGTGAAAACAAACAAAAATCCATCAACCACCTTTGATCGATTTTATTCATAAAATACACTGCCTATATAACAATAAACTGTTTATAATATTTGCTCTTAATAACTACTTTCTTTTCACAAGATGCTGCTGCTAAGATCAGAAGAAATAATTCTAAGTATAGCCATGCCATAAAACATATTTATGAAGATAAAACATATTTTCAACTAACATGGCTTTTTGAGTACTACTTTTTTTTCCTAGGAGGCAGCTAGGTGGTGATGAGCACTTGTGGATTCCACTCACATTACATTTAAATAATGTTCCTGGAAAACATCATTAAAGTGGACTTTTCAACATATCAGGCTAGATTAAACAAAAAATGAATTCTACAAAGTAAGTATTCCAAGATTTCTGGTTTACATATCATTAAATATCAATGGTTAATTTTTACAACATGTTAATAGGAAACCAACAAGGGTCAGTAAAAAGATCATCTCCACTTTGTAGTGGAGATGACCAAGGTTCAGATCTCACTTTTGCCACAATACTGTGTCTCTCTGCAACCTTGGGCAAGTTACGGAAGCTCTCTGAATCCTCCAGCCTATCCTTTTAAACAGGGATAATATGTGTTTTATAACCCATTTGTGAAAATCTTATTAAATAGCCTATGTGAAGCATCATCGAATTCCTGCTTTCCGATCATTCAGTAAAGACATAGAAGTCCCTTCGCAACAGGCAGAGCATGAATATATACTGAATGAAACCAACTATAGCTAGGCACTGTTAAATAAAAATGCAGACTATCTCGAGAAAGGAAATTATATGAAAGTGTGAAATGATAACTGATATTGCGCAAACCATGTGAAATATTTATTAGAGCTATTAACTATTCTCGACTATTAAAGGCTTAACATATTTTTATATTGCCACCTTAATAGCACCTATCAATGAGAAATCAGATTTTTGTGTATTTTTAAAACAGAGATGCGTAAATACGAGACAGTTAACAGAGCAACGCTACAGTTGTGAGTGAAACCAAATTGAGTTTTTGCACCATTAATACTTTAATTTTTTGTATGTGGCAACTGTGTGTTGCTTCTAAAACCTAGAAAAATACAAAAAATATCTGTAAAGCCCATAAAAATAAACTGTACTTACTTTCTTTGTATCTCATTTTGGACTGTACTTACTTTCTTTGTATCTCAATACTGTGGCCTGTCCTGCCATTATGTGAACAACATAAAAATCTCCATTGATTTAACATCACAATAAAAGGCACATACTTATATATGTTAGGACCAAGGGACTGTTTCCAAGTTGGGAAACAGATTTATCAATGTTGTGACCTTACCTGGTAAATAAACTGCTGTGCCTTCCACTGACTCTTCATTAATGCCAACCAGGAAACCGGTATCATTAGAAGTTTCCAGAAAGGAAAATGATGGTGTAAGCTCAGTATTTAACTCCACAGTATTTACTGTTGCCTGGTTATTGGAATCAAGAATTCTCACTGATACTTGCTGTTCTGGTGTTGCTACTGTGGAATCCTCCTCTCTACTCAAAACTCGGGTTTCAGGGTTTATGTCTAGAGAAGAAAGAATGGTGGGCTCCTCAGAAGTCTGTGGCCTGGGCTGAGGCACCACACTGGCCTCAACCTGGTAAACTGCAGAAGCAGATGTAGAAGGTGGCCACAGAGTAGCACCTTCTAACTTAATTTCCCTTGTAGCTGTGACAACACCTCCAGCTTTGGGTGTTCCATTATTGGGAAACACCTTGATTGTGTCCCCAGAAAGTTCAATACTGGTTTTGTTTTGGGGATCTGGGGCGATCTCAGTTCCCTCTTCAGCAATTAGTTCTGTGGGAGGAGCTTCCATTTGTTGGAATAACTTTGGTTTACTTTGATCTGAAGGTTCCAATTCTGTATCAGGAGATGAGGATGGAGGTTCAGTTACAGGAAAGTACTTTTTACTTGAAGGGTTGAAAGTTGCTTCAATATTTGCAGGTTTTCCTGGGAACACGTGAGAAGTGCTGGCATCTGTAACTGGCAGAGCGCTTGGCTGCGGACCCTCTGTGTGTTCAGAGGCTTTGCTGCCTAAATGGACAGTGAACGGAGAAGATGGTGTCTGGGAGGGTAACTTTGCAAAACTGGAAACTGCTGATGTTGCCTCAGTGTAATCTGGGGGATTGGATCCTTCCAGTACATTAGGTGCCTCTGTTAAACTCTGAGTCATAAAATGGATAGGACTGATACTTACATAAGGTGTGGGATCTATCAGTGCCTCCTCAGCTCCTGAAGAGAATTCTGGCTGAAAGGAAGGACCGACAGATATCTTTTCTTTATACTCATCTTGAGTCTTTTCTGAATGACCCAATGTTGATATTACTTCACTCTGGTCTGCAATTGCTTGCCCATCAGAAAAAGTGCTTGATTCAAAGATGTCTTCCATAACATTTTCTACAACTTTTGGTTCATGAATCTCGGGATTAACTGTGGCAGACTTATTAGGAACAGGCAGGGATGTTACTGTGGGAAGCAACATATCTAATTCCGTTTCTGTGCTAAGGATAGGGATCCCAGTTGTGAAAACAGAGGCCATGTGATCAAACTGGTTTCTGTCTTCAGAAGTCAGCAACTCGTGACGTGTTGCCTGAGTGTAAGTAGCCAGAAGAATATCACCAGAGCCTTCAAAGTTTTCCTCAATTGAAGAAAGATTAACAACTGCCTCATATTTCTCTTGAACTTGAGGGCTTTCTTCATTACTGTCATGTGGCCCTGACGGCAGCTCTGAATCTATGTCCGTCTGCATTCCAAGTATGTCCTCATACACAGGCTTAGTGTGATCAATATCTATGATAGTGTTTTTATCTGATGTCAGCTCAGGTAGAATTTCAAGGATTGTACTCTCTGTGATTGTCAATATTAAATCCTTGTCCTCTTTGTCCAGATCTATAATAATATTTTCAGTGGCTTTTCTTCTGTCAGGATTTAAAGTGGACTCCTCGAATCCCACGAGATGCTCTTGGAAACCACCTGCAGTGTCTTCTGTGGGCCTCTCATATGACATTGTATTTGACAGTGAGCCAGTTGGATCCGGGGAGCTTTCATTCTGTTCTGAATGAAGAGGCGGCATTGAGACTGTCGGGAATCCGTCAACAGTAACAGCTTTGGCACTTGGAAGCTCAGGAAGTTTTTCCAAGGATCTATCAGAAACAAATGTGGTGCTTCCTTGTCTGGTTGTCTGAGTTGTTCCAATAGTGTGGACTAAATCAACCATATCCAATTCCCCAGATCCTTCCCCAGAATGTTCATAAAATAAGTGAGATGATTTTGGTGCTGATGTAACAGATCCTTTGGCCATCTCCAGACTGTATGTTCTGTCCAGGAAATCAGTGGAAAAGGTTGCTGTTTCTTTAGCTTCTGCCGTTAAAGAATTCTCATTGGAGACTTGTTCAGTCATAGGTTGTAGCCGACCAGATTGAATTTCTCCAGCCCAACTGTGGGTCTGACTTTGAGGCTGTTCAGTGTCTGTGGAGAAAGTAAAAGGTGCCGTTGTGGGTCCTTCTGCTCTGATGTCGCTTAAAATTTCAAGTAAAGTTGTATTGGCCACTGTCACGCTGTTTTTGGAGATGCTGTCTGTTTTGGAAATAAGTGGGCTTACTTCATTTTGTACATTTTTCGTTCCCTCATAGTCTTCATTTATATCACTGGCAATGCTTGTTTCAAAACTTTCCACTGGAGAAGTCTGGGGATCTAAAGTGTGAATGATTTTTTCCATTTCAGTAAAGCTCTCTGATTCAGCAGTAGGCAGAATTTCCCCTGATCCCAGTCCAGAGAATAAAAGATCAGTATCTGACTCTTTAATTATTGGTTTTGTAACTTTGGAGGATTTTATACTTCCTTCCTCTTTGATTGGTAAATCTGTAACTATAATTTCAGCTGGTATAGATTTAGTCACTGAGGTAGCAGCTAAGAAAAGATTAGCTTCAGGGAGAGTAGTGTATGGTTCCAAACCCTTTGGATCCAGATTTGGAGTAGAAATGTCAGCTAAAGAAGTGCCTTCCGCCTCCACTTCCTCATCATTAATGTCAATTTTCTTCATTGTTAGTGTAGAATAATCTGTGGTTCGAAGTCTAGTGTCAGTGAATGTTTGTGAATCAAAATTTGCTTGTTCCATAGTTTGGGGAAAGTCCACTGAAACTGTGCTAAAGACCTTCACTTCTTCCTTATCTGCTGCAGCTTCAGTACCTTCAGCTTCCACTGTTGGTAAAATTGTTGATCTTTTATCAGCATCATTGATAGTACCCATTTCTTCCCATTGCTGGCCAGCAAATGGAGACTGTGTACCAGACATATTTCCCACAGCACTGGGAAACACTTGGTCAACAGAGCTGCCTACTGAGGCCAATTGCTCACCTGAACCCTCAGCTGAGGCTGTGAACTCTTCCCAGGGAAATGCTGACACACTGGCCGTGGGATTACCAGGTCTTTCCAAGTTAGGTATGTGACTGATGGTATCTGAGGTGGGTATTGCAGATGGTGATGTCTGGGGATCCTTAAATGCTGCATCCCCAGAGCCCTCTGGCATTGCTATTTCTTCTTTTGCTATGGGATGAGAGACTGTTGAGTATTCTCTTAAGTCACCACTGAAATCTTCCTCCAAAGGAAAATCTGTAGTGAAATCCTTTACATCTGCCCCATGATGAGGCTCTCCTGAAACCCCTGAAGTCAGGTTGTCCTTGGATGTTTGGCTTATAATTTCAGCAACTTCTCCATCCATTACAGTGCTCAAAAGTCCTGTTGACTCAAAAGGGAATACGGTCTCCATCTGAGGAGACAAAGTGCCAGCTGCTTCCTTTCTGGTTTGAATTTTCGGCTCTAATTTTAACGAAAATGAAGAAACAGTTGTGGTTTCTGGGTCAGCAGCTGCTTCTCCAGAGCCCTGCTCCATAAAGGGGCTACCTGGGACAGTGGCCAGCCCTTGGTGAACCCCAGTTTGAACATTAGAGCTGGGTACAGTGCTCTGTGTCCCCAGATTATCTAAAATATTTGATTCTGTCAAGACAGGAGTAGAGTTTGTCACTTCCTTTTCCACCGGTGTTGGTGTTGCCAAGGACATAAAATTTTTCCTGGCAATAGATGCTAAATCACTAGGTGTAGCTTCATTTGAGCTTTCTAATTCAGAAGGTAATATTAATTGATCTGATCGCTGTGTAGGTGGAAGTATCTCAACTGTAGAAGCCATGACTGTAGTTTCATCCTCCTCATCTTTCTTTACCTTTCCCTCAAGAGATGGGCTGAAAACCCACTCAGAAGTGTCTGTTTCCCTTTCAAATTTGGTAGGCACTACTGTAGGAGGTTGTTCAGAAGCTGAATAAATGGTAGCTGCAGGAACATCAAAAAGGTTTTCTGTGATCATTATATTGCCAGAACCAAAAGTAATGAGTGTATCTGTAGTATTTCTCTGTGACAAATCAGTTACCATGGTGGACATTTTAGCTTTATCATCTGCTGAGTCCCCCGAGCCTTCTGGAATTGAAATTGAAGGACTTCCTGAATGCTCTACAGTTTGCCTAGGTGTTACTTCCACCCAGCCTTCTATGGTGGACAGTGGATCACCAGACTGTGGATTCCTGGTTAAGATAACTGATACTTCCTCTGAAACATTTGCCGACACAGAACTTGGGACTAAACTTGGAGTAATTGTGACAGACATGCTTTTTTCTGCCTTTTTACCAAGTGTTATTTCTGTAGCCCTTGAAAAGAACATTCTCTGAGATTCTTGATTAATGGAAGCATCTCCTGAATACTCTTCAGGAAACAGAGGTACAGACTTGGTATGTTCAGGCACCTGATTATCAAGTTCAAGACCTCCCTCTGTGACTGATTCTGGTCTTTCTGATGCGTCTCTCTCACGGAATGGAACTGTGGGGAAAGGATCAGGTTCACCACTTGAAAAATGTTCTGGAATTTCAGGGTGAATCTCAGGCATCCACGTGATTTCAAGTGATTCAGTTGTTTCTTTAGATTCACTAGGTTGTGAGTCAGTAGAAAATCCAGTTTCAGTTATTACAAATTGATGAGTCTCACTTTCACTGCTATCTGAAAAGTTTTGAGAAGGTGCAACACTTTCAAACTGGCCACGCCTAGCTTCTGCCATTTCTGGGTCCTTGGGCACAGCAGTGACGAGATGCTTGCCATTTATGTACTGTACTGATGGGGTTGTCGTTACGTCAGTAGCATTTTCACATTCGTCACTTTCATCTACATCATCTTCACTGTGATATATATCTATTTCAATGAACTGAGGCAAAATTAGATCGTGTTCTGCATCAGTTTCTTCACTACAAGGTTCCTCTTCTTTAGATTCTGAATCTATTGGATGACCAAGCATACTCAAATCATTCATTCGACCTGAAAAAAACAAAGAGTTTTCACAATACTTAAATGGAAGATTTGGCAGTGTACAAAATCGATAGCAAGGTTGGCTGATCACACGCACACACAAAAAAGAGTCAAATCTTTTCACAGTAAGTACAATCACCTTCTATGCATGGTTCTCAGTCTTCAAATTTGCTGTTTTATATTAACAACAGGAAAAAATAAACCCAAGTTAAGGTTAAAGGAAATAGGTCATGAGACATCAACATATTAACAGGGAAACAAATATATACATTGTTATGACGAAATGTGGGGATTCATCTTTGTGCGAACTGAAAAAAAATTAAAAATTCAGACCATTTCACCAGATCATACAGAAAAAGTAACTGATTATTGTCCTTTACGTATGAGGATGCTTTAACACACTATTCAATAATGCAATGAGACGAGATTCCTTTTGAACTTTTGTCACAATCTGTTTAAGAGAAAGCTGTTTCTAGAAAAATAAAAAGAGAGGTTTCTTTCCAATTCTTTCACACTTTATTTACAACCCCTCCCCATTGCAACAGTGAGATAAGACAGTCATATATACTACAGCTGCATCCCAGATGCAAGAGCAGGAAGTCCTGGAGGAGGGGGTTCTGTGCAGGGATAGTTTACTCAAAGTACCAGAAAGAAGATTCCTCCTTTAACCCCCTTATCCTTTATGAGACATGATCTTTACCCCCTTATCCTTTATGAGACATGATCTGAATCATGTCAATTAAAGTTCTTTTTCTTAACAGTTTCTCCAAAGGCCATTCAGGAATCCTATCTAAACATTTGAAGTATCATATTTTAAATAGCACATATTCTCAGAACATTCCCTAGGTTGTAAGTTGCCAAAGGATACCAACCACTATACCCAACTGACATTTATACCTCCAGCAAAGCTCCTTGTCTGGGCAGAGAACTTCACTCTCATCACAATGAAATTCAGACACCCTGCCAGAAGGTCCTGCTAGGACTGCATGGCAGAGCACAAAGGTGCCCATGGGTGTGCTGACCCATGAAGAAGACAGAGAAGCAGAGAGGATGAACTGTTTTGTGCTCTCACCCCTAGGAATCTGTTGCAAAATTAGTTTTCAGTCTTGCCCCCGATCCATGCCATACCTGCTTATGCTGAACCTGAGAAGTTGTAGGAACAATAATTATGACGGAGCCATCCTGTCCTTGAAAGATTGTTGCTGTTGTAAGAAGTCACTCCCTCCCATGTATGAAAGGATCCCATCTAACATTTACTGGTAAGTCATAAAAGAAAAAACTCTTGTGTTTGCTTATATTCTTTATGTGTTAACATAAATACGGAAGTATATGAACTATCAAAAAAAATGCTATAGGAGCTCTTCCTGATTTTAACCAGTTTAAAAAAGCAAACCAAAGGCCACAAGACTTTCACATAACTAAAAAAGGCCTATTCCACATTTACATTTATCCTTTTTATTCTTACAAAAGCAAAAGGGAAAACTCTTCCATTTCCTATCACATCTTCAATGCACTGTTTCCATAAAATACTATTTGCATATTGCATAGGATTGGGCCTCTCTCTCTCGTCTGACTTTCACACATTACAGTTCATTTCTTACATATCCATCCTGTTACACTCCCTTCATGATATCTTTCAACTATAAATAAAGGTTTGTGGATATTCAAATAAATGAAAGATTTTTATCATAAAGAGAAGTGTGATCAATGGTATCTCTGGTATAATATAAAAATGTGTGAATATATATGATATGATTTCTGCCACAGATGTTGCAACAACTCCTAATTGCTAAACTTAAATACTAAATACCTAACCTTTTTCCAAAATAACATAATTAAAAACTAAGCTCATTCACTAAAGCTGTTACTATGAATTTACAGTCGCTAAAGGTGTATATGTTTTAAAAGACATCGCAATAAAATCTTTGAATAACAACACCTGTTTGTGTGGCTTACATTTAAATATCTTTTGCTATGATAAAAGACTGTGAGAACTATATATAATATATGCAATTGTGTATAGGCTTAATATAGGTTTGAGTGAGGGGTTTGTTAATTGCCTGAGGCTTTGAAGTTAATTTATTCTGCCCACAGATTCTCTAAACCAATCTGCAATTCACTGTCACAGTTTGGCTAGTTTTCCATACATTTAAAATTTCATTGGGGTTATGTGGCATAAGCTCTCTCTAATATGGACAAGTGAATCTTTTCTAGTTACCCATACTCCTATCACTATAATCTAACCTCTCACCCATGTTTCTATTTGCTCATTTTGGTTCAGTCAGTCTCTGAAATTTTTCTTCATCTCCCTCTCCCCATTCACAATACTGGAGAATTGCAAGAGCTATAATTATTGAAAACCAGAAAAGTTTCTTTGCAGGGTGTGTTGGGGACACCTGTGCTCTAGTGAAAACAGGTATCTCATTCCAAAATCATGATCTGTTCTATTTTGTACTAACTGAACTACCTAATAGAGTAATCCATGTTTCTAGCTCTTACATGAACATGTCCTTATAAAAGACTGCTCTATTTTAGAATTTTAGTCTAAGGATAATATAACTTTTATTTGGATTTTTAAGAGTTAAACCACAGAATTCTACAAGGTGTATGCATAATCTTTTCTATGTTTATATGAATCTGTTTTAATAGCTTGACTTGAGTATACTAGTACCATGGTTAATAGATGTTTTAATGGTATTTTACACAAGCTTTATTGCCAGCTGACCTCAAATTATTCACCACATATTTTTAAGTACTTCATGGCAGAGTTTGTAGACACAGCACAAGTCTTCCAGTCATAAGGGAAGCAGACACAAAACATAGTTGCTAAGATGCATAAGCAGCTGGCTTAAGTTCATGTTCTCTTTAGGGAATTTTACAACTTAAGTTTAAGAGCTTTTAATTAAATATAAGTATATACCAATATACTCAGTGGGGATATATTAAGATCACATTTCTTTATTAAAATAGATTTCATTTTAATGTGCAACAAAAAATATCTTGTTTATTTTAAAACTATAATAGACAGCCATATACTTGAGAAATACTTACAGAATTTAAATAAAGTTTGTAGTGCTTTCAATGCTTATTTTCGACACATACTTATAGATCCATTAAATAGACAGAAACAAATGTTTCAATTTCACTTACTTTTAATATGTTCCTAAATAAAATAAAATGCTACCTGACACCTTACAAAGCAAGAAAAACACCTAATATGATCTTCAACCAGATATTCTCAGGTGTCCTAAATCCCCTAACAGCTTCAACATTTGCAACCATAAACATGGTACAACTCAGGATGTTAAAAGATTGACAGTAGTAATCATGATAGAAACACCCTTCTCAAATCTTGTCAGATTTTTTTTAAATTATTATTTATTTTATATATTTTTACATCATTTTTCATTTTGGCACAATATATGCATTTTCATCTTGGTTATAGATTGTCAGATGTTTTTGCATTCTTCATCACCTTAATAATCGAAAATGGTTTAATATTTATATCAATACTCATTCCCTGTAAAGATGAGAAAGATTAAACTAAAGCCTGGGAGATCAATACTGAATTCCACGATCCTCACCCCACATTTGCACTGCTGACTGAAGTTCCTCTGTTTCACTACCCAAGCATGCTCTCACACTGACGGACCCCTCTTGCTGAGCAAGGAGCTCAATTCTTCACAATACATGAATTTTATGCTCAGAAAAGGCAATATATGAGTATAAACATTATAAGCGTTTCTGATGGCCTCACTTTTAAGAGACAAACATGTTATGGTGATGATAAATGGGGATAATCTCTCTTCTCAACTTGAAATAATCCTCTCATAATGCTGTTCCTTCAAGTGGAAAGAATATGTTTAGATTCAGTCATCTGCTCTAAGTACACTGAAGGAATATGGGCTCTTCTTCATTATAGAAAAGGCCCCAGGGACTGCAAAACTCCCAATTCTTAAAGAGTAATGGCTTCCCTGGAGAGCATAGTCAAGTAATTTGGGCACCTTGTAGCATCTCTGAACAATAAGATAAGCTATAGGAGAGAGAAGTAAGCCAGATTGCTTTTATTTTTAAATGTTTCCTTAAAAGTAGAACAAGTAAGGGCCTCCTCTGGTGGCGCAGCGGTTGAGCGCTGGGTTGCGAGGCTAGCCACAGCCTCCGCAGCACCGGTTTGTTCCCCGGCTGCCGGCCAGAGTCCCACAAAAAAAAAAAAAAAAAGGTAGAACAAGTAAGCAAAGCCAATCATAGGACAATACTTTCATTACCCTTTGTTTCATTTTCTCTAACACTGTCAAAGCCATAAACAGACAGACAGAGAGGCAGATAAACAGATAGAAATCAGATATCCTAAATCCTGAAAATGCTTTGGTCACAATCAAAAATATAAACTTCAATAAATAATAAATTTCACTAAAGTAAAATAAATATCTCCCATGTATAGGTATATATATACCTATTCAGAACCCCCAAACTATAGCTACTTAGCTGAACTTTACCAAATACCGCTTTATTTTTAATTATGACTCTCTTTTCTTCCAAAATCAGGAATAACTAGTTTCTGGTCAGCTCCCCCTGATCTCTTCAATGTCTTCAAGTGGCACACATATATCATTGCCTTCACTTCTCTGCCTATAACATTCTCTGCAGCTCCGCACCGAGACCCACCAACTCATGTTTTTATCTCTACATCCTCCTCTTCCCCCACTCAGATGTGTAGTCAAGAAGGACCCTCCAGAGCCTCCCTGGTCGTGCAGGGGTTAAGACACAACCTACCAAGCTATCCGCAGCCTCTGCAGCAAGAGTTCGATCCCCAGCCAAGGAGCTACCCACATGGCGCAGCAGACCTCTCCTGTCTCACCCACTGCTCCCCTCAGTAGTGTATTTCAGTTAATCTGCCTGTTCCGTTCCCCTCCCTGTTCTGGAGAATCCTCTCACCTCCACCTCTGGCCTGTACCCTAGTTCTTGTATGCATAAATAAATAAATATATTTTTTTAAAAAAGGACCTTCC